AATAATAATAATAATAATAATAATAATAACTTTATCACCGTCTCAAATACTTCTAGCCGGGTACAAGCGCCCTACTAATCGGGGAGACAATTAATGTCAGTTGCCTTGAAATAGGCTTTTTTTTTCTTCTGTTTTTCTTTTTAGACACCCAAAGGTAAACGCTAGCTTTGAATAAGTCAATGACCAATGCCTTTGTATTTTAAACAATTTTTTATTTTTTATGACAAGAGACTTCCGCGAGATTATTAAAACGCATTAATTTTGACTTGTTAGCAATTAGTCTTCGATCCCGAATGTTTTGGTTCTCTACTAGTAGAAGAGTGCAAACAATATAACCGTGAAACTTTAGCAATACTAAATAGCACAATTTCATGCAAATTCCATTGTTTTCTATTGTTTAAGTAGCACTATTTTGTACTATTTAGTAATTAGTGTTTCACGGATTAATAGACCATTTCACGGATCCCGTTACTCAACCTCAGCCTCGTCAGCGTGTAATATATTCTTTAGAAATTGCCTACAACCTGTGAGATTTTTAAGTGCTTCAATTGTTCGTTGATGTGTAAATTCCTTTCATTACTACGCACTGTAGTCAAATTCTGAAGAATAATTACACGCTGACGAGGCTGAGGTTGAGTAACGGGATCCGTGAAATGGCCTATTGTTTGCACTCTAGGCTTATAGCCTAGAAGGAGGGTGTGGACGGGGTTTAACAGTTAAGTGACCACTGGCCTAAACATAAGTAGCTAATTTACAATTAACCTAAAATTAGTAGTTTACAGTTAGCTGATATTTTACACATGAATATCATGTAAACCCGATAGAAGCCTTACGATGAAAATGCTAACACTAGATACAACCACTAGTGGAGGTATTCTGTTGTGATAGAGCACTAGAGGTTGTATCTAATTAGCATATGAATTCAAACTGTCCCAAGAGAGTTATGAATTATTTCACAAGTTGTTTACAGCATTCGCGTCCGCGTTGTATCGGCCATACAATCACTCGCCTCCCGCTCGTGATTGTATACCCGATACAACACGGCCGCTCATATTGTAACATTATCAACATGCTAGAAGTTGGTACGCATACTATGGTCGCGTTTTCTGAAGGTTAATGGTTATAACAGGTTGTGCTTTACCAGGGAAATAGGGCAATACACTGCCGCCAATCAGAGAATATAAAGGTACCGACCAATTTATTTGATTGACGGAAGTGTATTGTCCAATTTCCCTGCCGCGACTGTTGTCAGCACGTAGCAATGAAAAGAGTGGTAGAAATCTTTCCTATTTGACTTTATTTCGACCCGTCTCAATTTTATTCTTGATTTCAGGTATTTGAGTAATAATCGCTTGTCGTCTTTACCAGCTGAGGTTTTTGATAACAATACAGAACTTCAGTACTTGTAAGTCATGTATTCGTTACAGGGGAATATTATTGATTACCAAGTGTTACATAATGATCTGGTTTGTTGAAAAGCATTTTTTCATATTTCATTTTCTTAAAAAGATATAACTAGCTAAAAACTAGTGTGAGCTGCGTCGGTGTTTCTAATGAAACAGTAATG